CACCCCCCAGTTTTTACCTCTCTCTCCCGCACTTAGCATCAAATTATCGCAGCTGGACAGCTGAACTGACTTTTCCTCCATATATTTCCTCCCCCAGGCATATTCCCTTCACTCTTTCCATTAGTCTACCTATTATTCCATGCACAACAGCACGGACAAACAATAAGGATTTCAAGTTGTGTGACATCATGAATCAAGCCAAATCAAAAATTTCCTATCATGCCTATCACAATGACAAAATGCACGTCCTAGATTTGAAAGAATGTGACCTTTTGTGTCCAGTCACCAGAAAAAACATCTATATGAGCACCAACTAAATTAATCTTTGACCGGCGAGCCCATAATCCTCGAACTGCGTTCTTTGCAACTTGCTCAAAAACTGCATTTCCATCATAACAAGAATAAGCATAAGTTCCCAAAGCAAAACTGCATGAATTTACATGCTCAATTTACCAAACACACGATGAAGGGGGAAACAAACTACTGTTCAGAACATTTTAGAAGGACTGCTACTTGAAAGGGCCTGAGACATGGGAATTGTGTCCAAACATTAACAGTCACAACACACTAGATATCTAATGGATGACATATCTCCATAAACGGTCAGAATATAAAGGGTTGACTGTTCNGAATTACACAAGATACTCTTTTAAAAAAGGACATACAAAAGATTAAAAAATTGATGGTTAAAACAAAACGAATACAACTACACCTCCACACGGAACTAGTAGAGTCGGTCGTCTGAATCCTCTCTATCCATTTTGCTCTATTTGGTCCTATGTCATTCCACTACTCAAGAACTTGTCTTTTACGGCATGTTAGGGGTTGCCAATAGAAGTTCTCTAAATCCAAGCTTATTCCTACATCGACATATGAATATAAACAAACCAAAAAGAACTTCTAGCAAATACTGGAACTAATGTAGGTGTACCACACAAGTAAGTCTTGACTCCACCTAGTTGTTACCATCTATATGGATCTTCTTTCCCATTGTGTTTTATTCTTCGCTAAACCCGCAAGAATCTCGAGATATTATAGATCTTTTGCAACGATATCCACCTAATAAATTTCAGGTTTACTGGTCCCTATTTAACTCCTTCAATTGTCATAGTATCTCACCTACAGATCAGTGCTTTTAAAGGTCTGCATAGAACATGGTCAGACCATCTCAATTGATATTCTCTCATTTTATTCTCTTATCTCTATATGTGCTACTTTTACTTATTTCAGATGTGATCGTTTTCTAATCTAGTGTAATATTTCTTTTATAATAAATCTAGTCTGATATTATATGACTGCACATCCATCTTAACATCTGCATTTCTAGGAAAGCAAAACATTCACTCCTGTAACATTGTTGGTCTCATAAACACATCCTAAAGCTGAATCTCTGTAATGCTTCTCCACAATTTAAGCTCTTAGTCGACCCTTCACGAGTTTCACCAATTAACACAAAACCATCTGCAGAATAGTGCACCATAGAACCTCATACCCTACACTAGTGGTTAGCTCATCCATAAGAAGGTAAACAACGACAGAATCAAGGATTTAAACTAACGTGTATAAGATTTTTAGCAATACGGAAAAAAAGAGAGCTACTTTTGGAAATAAATAAGACTATAGTACATAAACATTAATTCCATGTTATTGTTTGCAATTAAACTGTTCCAATTCTCTCTTTTTGACATAAAGCTAGAACAGAACCATTTCCCGAATAATTCTCACTTACGTTTTAAACAGACACTATCCCTAAGATAGATTCATAGGTGCAGAATTAAGTGGAGAATTCGTCAGGAAGAGTGAAGCTTCAAACCAGAAAACAGAAGAAGTAACTTTTGGAGCAATGGCACCAGTAGAGTAACAAAGCATACAACCAGTCAGTGTTTTACATGATACAAGGCTTTTTTTGAGGCAATCCAACAATTAACAAAGTCCAAAATTATCAATCAACTACGTCTCCGCCCAAACTAATTAAGTCCGGCTATACAAATAATCAGTATCCTGCTCTATATTAACAAAGTCCAGAATCATGATGGAAAAAACATGTTTAGGAGCATAGGAACAGTAGAATAGACATAAAGATCATTATTCTACGCTTTTACTACCAATAAGAAATGAGTTCTAATGATTACAAGCAAACAAACTATCAAAAGGAGTATTATTTATTTATTTTGTACAAAAGCAATTATTCTGGACAGTTGAGAATTTACCTTTAGGAGATATTCATAGAAAGAATCTATACTTGTCCCTATCCCAGCATCCTGCAAAGAACGAACATTTTATATTACTTGACTACAAAGGGAAAAGTGAAAGAAATGCAGAAAACCGATAATGCTAGGTTGCAGTGCTAAAAAAATGACAGTTCCTGAATCCTAAGTGGAGATGGAATTACTAACGAAGTCAAAGTGGCCATGCGTAGTTGAAACCATTCCTTTAATGTATCCAGCTTTTTGAGTCAATCATACCCCTTAAATATCTAGGTTCTAATCCTTCTACAAGAGGTACAAACAGCAGGGCTGGCTGTTAGATCCAATGATGCACACAGAGGACGTTCACTCTTCTGTTTAGGGATTAAAAAATGATCAACTAAGGATTACACATTATACATTATCAAAGGGAAGTACTACAGATATGCATAAGAAATACATATTTTAGTTACAGGAGTCAAAGATGAAGGTAGATATCCTTAACGTAGTTGTAGTTCAAACCCCTCTATATTTCAGACACTATATCATGAAATTCAAAAGATTTCAGTTTTTTTTTTCCGGATTTTCTCTCCTTTTTTTAAATTTTGGAGAAAGGAGATAAAACTGAAAGACAACTCACTTTCCAGATATTTTAGAAGCAAGGGGCCAATTTCGAGCAGGAAAAGGTGTTTTGTCCAGCCCACCTCTCTTTTATCATGTTGCCTCTTCAACCCAAGAAGAAATCAGCATAGCTGGAAACTGCAGTCTATACCCTTCAGTCAATTCCCCCACCCCCCC